GTTTTAAAGAAGTTACTAGTAAATTCTGCACCACCATCACTTTGAAAATTTTTGATACGAGCATAATATTGATTTTCCACAAATTTTTGAAATTGAATAAAAGTAACATAGAAGTTGGATTTAAATTTCAATGGATAAAGCCAAGTGAAGCTAGAATAATCATCGATAAATAAAATATAGTAAACAAAACCCAAATTGGATTTTACTGGTAAAGAACCCTATATGTCACAGTGAATAAGATCTAACACATTGGACAACCTATTTTCATTACGAGAATAAGGCAAACGATGACTTTTTGCAAGTTGGAACGTATCACGTAATTTAGGAGATGACAATAAAGAGGTAAGATAAAGGTGTCTTTTTTTATTCAATAAAGAAATAACAGAATGATATACATAACCAAAACGAGCATGTCATAAATCATATGAATCATAAAGAGATTTATTTTTAAGGACATAAATGAAAGTAGAATTTCCACGCTCTAGCACATATAAGTCGCCATCACGTTTACCGGTTGCCACCACCTTTCCCGTTTGGAGATTTTGAACAGTAAAAAATCATTAGTAAAAGTAACGGATAAAGGAAAATCATTAGTTAATTTACTAATGGACAAAAGATTTTTAGTGAGATGGGGAACAACCAAAACATCCAACAATTGAATATCCGGGAGAAAGGAAATTTTACCGGTGTGGGTAATGGGTAGGGACGCACTATTCCCTACAATTACAGAATCCTTACCCCTGTAGGTGGAAGACTGATCCAAAGTGGAGTGAGCTGGAGTCATGTGGGTTGAAGCCCCTATATCCAAAAACCAATCAGAAGCCTCACTTTCGGATAAAGAGCACGAAGAGGTAAAAGCCTCTGCAAGGTGTGTCGTGGATTCAATCTGATCATACTGCTACCTACACCGATCGGCAAAGTGTTTTTCCTTCCGGCAAATCTGGTAGCGTGGTGGACGGCGACCATGAGTGGCATTGGTACGGCTTTGTCCATGATTGGAGTTATTGCACTGGCTATTTTCACGGCCACAGTGTGGACGAGAACCACTTCCACGATGAGAAGAGTTTCGGGTAGCAGTAAACGCAACGGTTGAGGACGTCGAAGTCTATAGAGATTTTTGAAAATTTTCAAAACTCTCTGGTTTAGATAAAAGATCAGAAAAATAGGGGAGGGGGTTTGTGCCATCTGGGAAGTTGAGAAGCTAGAGAATTCGGGACCAAGACCACGCAAGAACCAATGAACTTTGTCGGTTCCATCAACCGGATGACTGATTGCATGTAGTTGATCACACAAAGTTTTGAAAGCACGGGCATAGGCAGTAACAAAACGAGTGTCACGTTTCATCAATTGGAGGTCATATTTGAGGTGAAGTTCATGGGCTTTGGAGCAGTGGCTGAAGGTATTTTCGAGGGCAGTCCAGACCTCACTGGATGTAAAGAGGCCAACGGCTTCAGCCGTTGCTTACTCGGTAAGGGAGGAGAGGAGAATACTAAGGAGGCGTTGGTCGGTTGCTTTCCACGCCAGATATTTGTTATTTGGCGTCTGAGAGGTGGGAGGATCAAATAGAGGTGGCGACATAAAGGTGTCATCAACGTGACCCAGTAAACCTTGGCTTTCAATGAGGGGAAGGAGTTGGCTCTTCCATAGAAGATAGTTTGAGGAGGAAAACTTGATGGTAACCATGTGGATCATGGTGTTGAAGGGAAGGAGGGTGGGAGAAGAATCGGAAGAGGAATCAGCCATTGAGGATCATGGGATGCTAATCCAATTAGACTCTTGATACCATGAGAATATTATGAAAAACCACCACACTTGTTAGTGGTGAGAAATTGCATATATATATTCAATTACATATTGTATAACTTAATTACAATAAATATATGTTTACAAAATAAATAGAAAGAATAAGCTAAAGCTCCTATAATTGAGGGTCAATGGTTATATATGGAATACCATAGATTATGGTAGAGGATCCTCAACAGCTTTGAAGTTGGTAGATCCTAGTGTGCCCAAAGGCCGTTGGAAATAATACACACAGATATAGCTGGTCCTTCTGACATACCGTCACTTGGCGGTAACAAGTTCTACTAACTTTTATTGGCAATTTTAGTAGAAAATGTTGGATTTATATCTTGAAAGAAAAATCAAAAGCGTCAGAAAAATTGACAGAATTTAAAGCAATGATGGAAAAACAAAGTGACCAATATTTAAAAATACTCAGATCTGGTAGAGGAGATGAATATACGTTAAATTTATTTGAGGACTTTTGTAAAGAGCATGGCATAATCCATCAACTAACAGTCAGATACACGTATCAAAAAATTGGAGTTACAGAAAGGAATAACCACACAATCCTTGACATGGAAAGAAACATGATAAAAGGTAAACACTTATCAAGAAATTTTTGGGCCGAAGTAGTATGATGTGCAGTTTACCTGATAAATCGATGTCCAAAAAAGTGTAAAACATATTACACCAAATGAAGCATGGAGTGGTAAGAAACCAGGACTTGGACACCTCAAGATTTTTGGATGCATAGCATATGCCCACATTCCTGAGCATACCATAAAGAAGCTTGATGATAGAGGAGAAAAATGAATTTATATTGGCTATGATGAAAGAAACAAAGCTTATAGACTATATAATCCTCTTTCTAAGAAGATAATAATTTCAAGAGATGTCAAGTTCGATAAGGCAAAATACTGGAGATGGAGCAAAGAAGAAAGAAAGTTGAAGGATTATTTTTTGACGAAGATAAATATGATGATGATCTTTTCAATCAATATAAACAAAGTAATGATCAAGGTCCTCAACAAAATGCACCATCGTTATCAAGCAACCACAACAGTGGTAGCAACATAATAGAAAGTTCTGAAGTTCCTCCAACAGAAGTTCGAAGATCTATGAGAGAGAGAAAAATACCATAAAGGTACAATTATTATGAATTACAAAATGTTTAACTTTTCTGCTTACTTGTAAACAGTGATCCAATAATATATGAAGAAGCGGTTGAAGATGACAAATGGAAGAATACAATGGATGAAGAAATTACATCAATAGAAAGAAATGATCTGTAGGAGCTAACAATCCGACCATAAGGTAGCAACCCAATTAGAGTTAAATGGGTTTATAAGACTAAGATCAACAAAGAAGGAAATGTCGTGAAACACAAAGCAAGACTAGTTGCCAAAGTCTACAAACAAAGACAAAGAATAGACTATGACGAAGTATTTGCTCCAGTGACAAGAATCGAGACTATCAGACTTCTCACAACAATTGCAACACAAAACAAATGGAAGATTTATCAAATAGATATGAAGACAAAATTTCTTAATGGCTACCTAGAAGAAGAAGTTTATATTAAGCAACCACTTGGATACATTAAAAAGGGCATAAAGACAAAGTTTATCAATTGAAGAAAGCTTTATATGGATTAAAGCAAGCTCTAAGAGCATGAAACACGAGAATAGATTAATAATTCCAAAGAATTGGGTTCATGAAGATTCCATACGAGCATGTCTTATACACGAAGAAAAATGAAGATTGTGATATCATGATCGTGTGTTTATTTGTGGACGACATGATTTTCATGGGGAACAATCCATGCATATCTAATGATCTCAAGAAAGCTATGACTAAAGAAATTGAAATGACAAATATTGGTGAAATGTCATACTTTCTTGAAGTCGAAGTGAAGCAAATGCAAGATAGAATATTTATATCATAAAAGAAGCCAGCAGAGGAAATTTTAAGAAAAATCATAATGAAAGACTGCAAGTCGATAGTTATTCTAGTAGAACCATGCTTGGGAAAGAAATGAAGTGGAAGCAATTTAAGGTTTCAAAATGACAACAGTACACTACAGCAAAATTGTTCTGTAGCGGCGCTTTTAGCGGCGTTTGGAAAGTAAACACCGCAAAATTTAAACATATAGCGGCGTTTACAATCCAAACGCCACAAAATGATACTTTAGCGGCGTTTCTTAAACAAACACCGCTATAGAGTAGTACTATAGCGGCATTTTTATATAAACGCCGCAATAGGTACATATGTAATGACGTTTTTCAACAAACGCCACAACAGAGTAGTACTTTAGCGGCGTTTTTATACAAACTCTGCAATAGGTCCATCTATAGTGGCGTTTTTTCTAACAAATGCCGCAAAAGATTTATACTTTAGCGGCGTTTTTATAAAAATGCCACAATAGAGTTCTCCTATAGTGGCTTTTTTTCTAATAAATGCTGCAACATATTAGAACTTTAGCGGCGTTTTTACACAAACGCCGCAAAAAATATGTACTTTAGCGGCATTTTTTAGAAAATGCCGCTATAAAATGATAAAAGGTGGCGTTTGTGTCAACAAACGCCGTAATATTTGATAATTTTAAATGTTCAAATCCCTTTCCCCTTTTGCATTTGTTCCCACAATCCCCTTTTCCTCTTACCCATCTCTGTCGAACATAGTATCTGCTATTCACTTATGAAATCCTTTCTTTCTCGCCATTAGATCTATTTTTCAAATCCCTTTCCCATTTTTCATCTTTTCCATCCACGCAAAACTGGTGCTGCTCGTCGCCGGTTGAAGCTGTTGAGGCCTCCAACGTGTCGCTATCAACGCTCGACTCTCTAATTTGAGGTGCGAATAGTATCTGCTTTCACCTTTTTCATCTTTTTTTCTTGTTGTTTAGCTCTGAAAATGCCATTTAAAAGCTTTGTTCGGGAGATTAGAAAGATATCAAAGGAAAAATCAGGGACGAGACATAAGCTTCGGCGGGGTTAAGCCCATATTATTCCAGAAGTTTCTCTCTCTTCTTCACCTGGTTCTTCACCTATACAAATCGAGCACCGTCAATGGGAAAAATTGCCACCAGAATTACTCGTAGATATAATCCAAAGAGTGGAATCAAGGGAACAATGTTGGCCTGGAAGGAGAGATGTGGTTGCTTGTGCTTCAGTTTGTCGCTCATGGAGGGAAATTACAAAACACATTGTTAAGACACCTGAACATTGTGGATTCTTAACTTTCCAAATCTCTTTAAAGCATGTAAATTTTAATTCTTTTTTCGCCCTTTATTTTTGAAAAATAAAATCAGTTTTTTAGTGTTTTGTGTGTTGTTTTAAGCTTGGGCCAAGGGATACGCCGATTCAATGCTTTATTAGAAGGGATAGCTCAAGTTCAACATTTCGATTGTATATGGGTCTCAGTTACGTAATTTTTTCTTCTTGAAAATGTGTTTTTTTGTTCTTTAAACTATCGGTTTTAACCTGGTAATTTGTTCATAAGTGATATTTATTTGTATGTTACGAAATATCCAAAAAATCATGAAAATACAGAAGGCACTATGGGTCTGGAGCTTGATTGTGGACAATATAACATCTTTATTGTGTGTATCATGGTCATTCTCTATATCTTGTTTGCCTATGATGTCTGCAAAATGGTAAGTATTTATTACAGAGTTTCGATTTATTCCTTTTATTTTTCTCCTCTATTTGTATGTCTCAACGTTCTTAATTATCATATTCGGATGTCAAATTGGATCTATTGTCACTGATATCTTTGCTTACGTTGATTTTGCCAGTAAATCCTAGCTTGTTTATTTAACGGCATTTGCTTTAGCTTATTCTGTGAACCTGGTGGCTAATTTTCTTGAATTCCTCGAAAATTCGATGTAATTGTTTACTGGAGAAAAGCTAATTTAAAGTATTTCTGATTATAGTACATTTTATTCTTGTTCGAGTGAATTTTGATTTGTAAATTTGAAGGAATGATATTTACTTGCTGAGTGTGTCAAATTTATCCTAGATTTGATTGAAATTATCTACATAAGAGGTTTAAATCTGATATTTTATTCTTGTTTGAGTGAATTTTGATTCGTAGGATGATGATGGAGGAACTGTAAGTGATGACATTGAGAATCTAAGAGGCACAGGGTTTCCAGGGGTTGGTATGTTTTGGTTAAAAGTGCTTGTTTGATTGCTATGCAATTTCAATTGTACAAAATTTCATCCTTTGTTTTTCTCAATTCTGTTTTGATTTCCATTGATATACAACTTCCTTAAGTAATGTTCCTCCAAGGGAACAAGCCAAGTGGAAACGCAAGTAAGATCAACTTACAAGATTTGTTTTCCTTTTACTAATATTAGCTTTAAAAAACTGAGAAAGATAAAAAGTTGATGGTTTTTCCTACCTTGATTAGGACAATTGTTACACTTGCATTGACTTTTCTTACAAGTTCACAAGCAATACTTATTGTCTGGTCGAAGATAGCTGGGAAGTATGAGTATAATGTTACCACAACGAACTTTATGGTGAGTAGAATAGTCATCTTGTGTTATGACTTGACATGGTGCCAATAGGATTGACCTTATACTGTTATTTCGGGAAACAGGTGAAGACTTTGAAATGTGCCTTGTCACTTGCAGCGTTGGCAAGAATATGGAAAAGTGAAGGTGTTACAGATGATAACAGGTAAATCTTACTTGCGATTGCTTATGTCTAATTTTTTCTATTAACATGGAGACGATGAACATACATTTTTCCTTTATTATTAAACCAGGTTGAGTACAACCCTGGATGATGTTATTGTTTATCCTATTCCTGCCTTACTTTATCTTGTCAAGAATTTGCTACAGGTGGATTTTGATTTTTGGTTTCCTTGTGAGTAACTATATCTTGGTCTTATTTTTCAAAATGTAATTGTATGTTCTTTTCAATTTTATGTTTGCAGTATTGATTTAAAATATGTTTGGTCCGATAAGCTGTTAGAAGTTATCATGAAATTCAAGCTTGGATGTTTCTGCACAATTATTAAGATCTATCTCTATATTTTGCTTATCATCATGATGGTTGCCCATGCCATAGAGTTGTTGACTGCTGGGACTGACCATGCAGGAATGTGTTGTTAACTTTTTTAACGTAAGATATAATGGATTTTCATATAAACTAATGATTTATTTGGATATGAAACTAGAGATCGGGTTTGCATTGCCATAGATGGGGCCTTTTCAAGTGGCATGCCAATTGGAGTAAGACATCATGAAGCAAAATATATGTGCAAGAAATGACAGGACGATACTAGCTCTGCATCATTGTTTTCCCATATAAACTGGATTTATCTCTTTGAATTTAAGCGCCTCATTGTGACAAAGAGTTTTGAAGAATGTGTAAGATTAGAAGCAAAATATATTAGATATTATTGTTTATTATAGTTAATAATGTTGAACTACATTATATTTTACGTTAATGTAAACTTTGATTTATTATTATGGATTTCATTTTTCTTGTTTTGGATTTTAAGTTTGTTGTTATGGATGTCAAGTTTATTGGAAAATGCTACAGGTTAAATTTGGGTAATAAAAAAGTAGAAAACAACATTTGACAAATTAGTTTTAATTTGCAAAATCAATTTCTTTTAGCTATAGAGAGGTAATTAGCGTCGTTTGTATCTTAAAATGCCGCTATAAATATGACCTTTTGCGGCGTTTGTTCTAAAAAACGCCGCTATATACCAGATCTTTTGCGGTGTTTGTGGGAAAAACACCGTTAAATCTCAAGACCTATTGCGGCGTTTATGGAAAAAACGCCGCTAAATCTCAACACCTATTGCAGCGTTTGTGGGAAAAACGCCGCTAAATCTTAACACCTATTGCGGCATTTGTGGGAAAAATACCGCTAAATCTCAACACCTATTGCGGCGTTTGTTGGAAAAACGCCGCTAAATATCAACACCTATTGCGGCGTTTGTTGGAAAAACGCCGCTAAATATCAACACCTATTGCGGCGTTTGTCCAACAAAAACGCCGCTATATATCGTTACCTATTGCGGAATTTTTTGTTACCAAACGCCGCGAACTTTAGCGACGCTATTTTCAGCGGCGCTTTTTGCGGCGTTTGTCATAGCGCCGCAGGTGTTTTTTGCGGCGCTTAAAAACACCGCTATAGGTAAAAAAAAATACCGCAAATGTACAGTTTTGCTATAGTGGTAGCAAAGTTTGAAAATATGTTGAAGGTCCAAGTTTTGGCAACACACGCAAGCAGTAATTGGTAGCATCCAGAGCCTTCATGAGGTTGTTACATACCCTTATAAATATGTATCCTTAGCATTAGTTATATGTATGTTATGTGAGTGTTAAGAAAAAAAAAGAGACAGAGGGAAAGAGTAGAAGCTTAGTAAAGCTTTAAGAATGTGGTTGCGTTTGTAAACTAGCCGTAACTAGTGTTTGTATCATATTTATATTTTAGTTCTTATTAACAGTAGCGTGTGAATTATAAATTACCGAGTGCTCATTAAGGCTTCCAACATACCATCCAAACACCGAATTTCTAAAAATTATTTTTTGACAAATATAATTCATTTCATAAAAATTATTTTACAAACGAACCATTAAAGAAAACTGGAAGGGAAGGCGGCCCAACGTCCACTGTTGCTATACATCGAATACATCTTTCATCTAAATATGTTCTTTCGTTGTATCATTACGTTTGATGATGATTAATTAGACTGACCAAATTCATACCGACATAGCTTCTTGTTTCATAAAATATCAAATTTGAATATTATCAGCAATAATATATATTTAACGTTAAAATATTTTTATATAAAATAAATTATTAATATTTTATAACTGTCGTTATTAGTTAATTGATTAATTAATTTAAAATAAACGAATAAAATATAAAACTTAATACCGGTAATACGTAAAATCTAGTTTTAACTAATATAAGTGGGATACTTTATCCGTTCTATATATAAATATGAGTGAATTCATATTTAATTTAATGTGATTTTTTTCTTTTTATTAATCCTCTATTTTATTAATTTTGTTCATCTTACAATTCTGTTGATGTCTATCTTATATAAAGTTTTATATTATTAATATATATATATATAATCTTAAAAATATTTATCGCTATTGTATATAAATAATACAATGATATTGAGACGTTATCGGGGTTGATTTCCCTATCAATAGAAAGCTCATAAAGAGCTGCGGATCGTCGAGGAAAACAAAGGAAATAACATTCAGGTTTCCATATTGTCTCAAGTATAATAATTAATTTCAAAACTTTTAAAAGTAATATCGTCTCAAAAAGATCACTGTTAAGGTAGACGCAGTTATATTCAGCAGCCAAAAACGCGATCCAACCCATATATCCAACATTTTCCCAACTATTTGCAATAATAGTTCATCAACAACTGGTTTGCACTTTGGCAGTAAACTTTTTGAATCTTTGGGAAATCTGAACTCTTCTCATAAATGGATTCTCCCATTGACATCTTCAAACCCCAAGTCCTCAAATCACCATGCAATCCAACGAAAGTTCTGGCAGTGGCAGCAGTTCAGCTGCAACAGGACGGCACCCGGTGTATAAGGGCGTAAGGCGTAGGGCAAGTGGGAAATGGGTATCTGAAATTCGTGAGCCGAGAAAACCTAATAGAATCTGGCTTGGTACTTTTCCTACACCTGAAATGGCAGCCATTGCTTATGACGTGGCGGCACTTGCCCTAAGAGGCCAAGGTACGGAGCTTAACTTCCCCAACTCATCTTCTTCTTTACCAGTGCCTGCCTCGACCTCCCCTCGTGATATTCAGGCGGCGGCAACGTCGGCTGCAGCGGCTTTAGGGGCTGCAAACGATGCTTTAGTCGGGAATGAGGGTAAAAAAAACAACTGGATAGCCGCGGAGAAACCGAGTGCTGGTGATGATTTCATCGATGAGGATTTGATATTCGATATGCCTAATGTTCTTGTCAATATGGCTGAAGGGATGCTTCTTAGTCCTCCTCGATTGGGCGTTGATTCCGATCAGCCTCCTCCCGCCGGAAACGACGGATGCTCCGAGACCCTATGGGAATTCCCTTGACATATTATTAGTATACTAATAAACTCTCTTCAATATAAATTCTCATCTGTCTAAACAAGAAATGAAGGATGAGCATGAATATCAGCGTCAGCAGACACTGTTAAAAGTATATGACAGTGTCTATCATGAATGAAGTAATCCACAAACATGGATTCTGTGTGTTTTCTTAGTGGTTTTCGATTTGTTTGAACTTTGGGATTGGTATTTTCTACAAGATTTTTCCATTTATGAGATTCATTTTTGGCCAATCCATTTATGGTATTCTCTATCTAGTTTTATGTTGTGTGGCCCTGGTTTGTGTCCGTACATGCATGCTTGAAGCTTGAAACCCCGTAGCCATAAAAAAAAGTTTTGCTGCTTGTTCGTTCATGCATAACTCTCTAATTAAACATTTTTCACACACACATATATGGAAAAAATTAATTATATAGTGTAAAACTTTTCAGTGTTAAACAAATTAATGATCGTTTGATGAGTATAAATAAAATACTAAAATTAACAGTAAAAAGATATTCACTAAATGGAAAAAAAAAAACAAAGAGCAGTATCATTTAATCAAAGAAACAATCAACAGTTCAATACTAAAGCTTATATACATGCAAAGCAATTACAAAACCCGAAGAAGAAAGTTAAGACAAAAATTGAATATTAGTTGGGGTAAATTCCACATTCCCAAATAATTTCAAAATGACAACTAAAATTTTATGAAACTATTATAAAATAATTATTAAATTTATTGAATGGTTATATAATATTTTTTTTAAATAAGACAATATTTATACAATTAACTACTAATGACATCTGAAAGTATTATATTCAAAATACACATCGGTGATTCATAATCATAAAATAAAGCAAAATTAGCTAAGTTGTGAGCGGCATTGTTTGTGGATCAACGAATTCCAATGACCCAGACTGTAATGAATTCACCATGAATATTAATCAATTGTGCATTCTAACGAGGCTCATTCGGAAACAGAATTCACCACAGCGGACAGTAATGATACTTAAATATATTGAAACTTATTATTACTATTCTATGATGTGCAGTGATAATTTCTTATAGTTTCATGAATTTAGTGATTATTTTATAATTTTTAAAACTTTAATGATAAAAAAATATTATCTGTATGGTGAAGAAAAAAAAAGAAAAAAAATCAAAGACAAGTTGGGACTAGTTTTAGTCGATAAGAATAATTAACACGTTGATTTAAGATGTAAGTTGAATATTTTAAGAGAAATTATTATCCAGAACCTTATCCTAAGTTATAAACTCAACGGATTAATTTAATTTCATATTTTTCTACCTCATATCCTTTATCATATTTTTAACCGTAAAAGTGTTTTACTTAATTTTAACAGTGTACGGCAAGTATATTTATTTTGATTTGTTAAATTATTCATCTTTATTTTCTCATATTCTCTTAGATTATGCGTTCTAGACTTGTTAGAAGCACCCCTTTCTTTCCGTTAAAGTTTTTATTCTCCTCCCCTCTAAGTAGAATTAAAATTATATTTAGAATTTGTAAAAAAAATATTAACATCGTAATAAAAATTAATTATTTATACATTAACATAATATGAAAAATTATAATATCAGATATTATATCGATTGACTAAATTACTTAAATACAAATTTACATTTTAAGGATTTTTTTAGACATGGCTAAACGAAAATCACTTAAGCATACCTCACAAGCACATAACAGAAAAACACACGATACTATTAATAGAGGATAAACTTAGGACGTGCATAACTCTAAGGAAACAATATTTAAACTTAGAGGCATCAGACACGAACGTAATAATTTATATTAAAGGTATAAATTTATAAAATTTTAAAAAATAATAATTAAAATTTTTAAGACACGGTTATTCTCACTCGTTCTCTCGAACCATCCCTCGTGGACAGATTAGACAGAATCATACTATGGCTCCAGAAGTGTGTCTTGCTGGAGCCACGTGATGCATGTTAGGCGAAACCATGCTGTAGCTCTAAAAGTGCGCTACAACAACATGATGAGAAATAGTTTCTCGGATGAATACGTGTGGTATTCGAAAAATACCCAAAATTCTTTGAAAGAATTCCGCTTCCATCTCTTTCAAACACTTGTCGATGAGAAGAAAAAAATATTTTGAAAATTATTTTGCTCGATAATTCGTCGTCAAAAATTGTATTAGTGAATAGAGATGAAAAATAGATAAAACTTCATCAAAGATATTGCATTTTATCAAACAAAATTATGGATTTTTTTTATCAACGGCATTTCATAGAAAGAATAGTGTTACATGTTGAAAGTCAAAATATCATGGGCGTCTATACAAATTCAAATGGGTCTGCTAAATTGATTATGTTAGGCAGCTTGAAAATGTTGAATTTTGAATTGGTAAAATCACAAAATTTAGCCATTGAACTTTAGGGTATTTACAAGATTAGTCCTTAAGTTTCAACTATAAATACCCTAGCTCATTTAGCTTCAAGATCATCCCAAAGCATTCTAGCTTTCTTCCAATACTAGAGAGAATATTAGAGAGTTTTTTTAGAGTTGTTTTCTCCTTTTTATCAAGAGAGAATTATCATTGTTTTCTCCTTGGTTGATCGAGAGAAGTTGTAATTCCTATTTTCTCATAGTGAAATTCTTCTACCGGTGCCCGTGGTTTTTACCCTATATTATTTAGGGGGTTTTCACGTAAATTTTGTGTCTTCTTTATCTTCATTTTTATTTTCTCAAATTATCAGTTGCGATTTTGCTCTATCCGATAGCCGTCTTCCGCAACTATTGGTATCCGAGCTAGATTAGAGTGTGTAGTATCTGCTTATTGTCTTTGTGGTTGCCACCAAAAGGTGGATCCTCCAACATAAGAAAATAAGAAGTTATTACCCATTCTTTGAAGGTTCCAGAGAACTATTTATGATAGTGAAATAGTGGGAGCTATCCGTAAAAGAAGCTATGACAACGAAATTTGATATTGAAAAATTCAATGGGAGAAATTTCTCATTGTGGAAATTGAAGATGAAGGCCATCCTAAGGAAAGATGGGTGTCTAGCGGCTATCAATGAAAGGTCGGTGGATTTCGCAGATGACATCAAATGGAACGGGATGGACGGGAATGTTATGGCAAACTTTCATATAGCATTAGCAGATGAAGTATTGTCAAGCATCGAGGAAAAGAAGACAGCTAAGGAGATATGGGATCATCTCACCAAATTGTACGAGGCCACATCGCTGCACAATAAAATTTTCCTTAAGAGGAAATTGTACACTCTCCGTATGCCAGAATCTACTTCAGTGACAGAGCACTTAAATACACTGAACACCTTATTTTCTCAGCTTACATCCTTAAGCTGTAAAATAGGAGAACAAGAACGTGTTGAACTTCTACTTCAAAGTCTACCGGATTCGTACGATCAACTCATCATCAACTTGACAAACAGTAATGTCACCATTCTACTCTTCGATGACGTTGCAACTGTTGTTCTACAAGAAGCAAATCGGCGCAAGAACAAGGAAGATAGACAAGTAAATCTGCAACAAGCAGAAGCGTTGACTACGATGAGAGGGAGATCAACAGAACGTGGCCAAAGCAGCAATCACAAACATGGTAGATCAAAGTAGAGGAGCAAGAAGAATTTAAAGTGCTACAACTGTGGAAAGAAGGGTCACTTGAAGAAGGATTGTTGGAGTCTAAATAAAAGCTCCAATCCACAAGGCAATACAGCAAACACTTCAGATGATGGAGATGCTCTATTCTGTGAAGCGTCAACCACCGTGGAAGGTAGAAAAAGATTTACACATATATGGCTCATTGATTCGGGAGCGACATATCACATGACCTCAAGAAGAGAATGGTTCCATCATTATGAACCTGTCTCAGGAGGATCTGTGTATAGTTGCAATGATCATGCCTTAGAGATCATTGGCGTGGGAACCATCAAATTGAAGATATATGATGGAACAATTAAAATTGTTCGAGATGTGCGGCACGTGAAAGGCCTGAAGAAAAATTTATTATCCTACGGATTGTTGGATAATAATGCAAACAAGATTGAAACACGTAAAGGAATCATTAAGGTGTTCTGTGGAGCGCATGTGGTGTTGAAAGATGAAAAGATAGCAGCAAACTTGTACATGCTGAAGGGAGAGACTTTGCTAGAAGCAGAAGCCTCTATTGCCTCATGTAGTTAAGATTCTGCAATGTTATGGCATCAAAAACTTGGACACATGTCAGAACAAGGAATGAAAGTCCTTATGGAGCAAAAGCTACTTCCAGGCTTAACAAAGGTATCACTTACTTTGTGTGAGCATTGCATAACAAGTAAGCAGCACTGGTTAAAATTCAACATGTCAAATTCTAGAGGAAAAAGTGTTCTAGAATTGGTTCACTCTGACGTATGGCAAGAACCAGTTATATTCCTAGGAGGAGCAAAATATTTTGTCTCATTTATTGATGACTACTCTAGGAGATGTTGGGTGTACCCTATTAAGAAGAAGTCAGATGTGTTTTCAACTTTCAAAAACTTCAAAGCACGGGTGGAACTTGATTCTGGAAATAAGATCAAGTGTTTCAGAACAGATAATGAAGGAGAATACACAAGCGAAGAATTTGATGACTTTTGCAGGAAAGAAGGCATCAAAAGACAGTTCACACTGGCGAACACTCCTCAACAAAATGGAGTGACAGAGCGGATGAACAAAACCTTGTTAGAAAGAACAAGAGCAATGTTGAGGGATGCAGGCCTAGAAAAATCATTCTGGGCAGAAGAAGTCAATACCGCATGTTATTTGGTAAATCAAGCTCCATCAACTGCAATAGAGCTGAAGACACCAATGGAGATGTGGACTGGAAAACCAGCTGATTATTCAAACCTCCATATATTTGGAAGTATAGTGTACGTGATGTACAACTCCCAAGAAATTTCAAAGTTGGATCCAAAATCCAAGAAATGCAAATTTTTGGGGTATGCTGATGGAGTAAAGAGGTATCGCTTGTGGGATCCCACTGCCCGTAAAGTGATCATTATTAGAGATATTATCTTTGTAGAAGATAAACTACAAAGAAAAGAAGACGATGATAGAGCTGAAAAGTCAGAGACTACTCAGATACATGTGGAAAAAGAGTTTGAAGAAGGAGATTCTTCTGAAGCAGAACCAGCACATGATGAACAAGAACTAGAGAGTTCTGAAGCTCCAACAACTCGTCAATCAGATCGTGTGAGAAGACGTCCCAATTGGCACTCAGATTATGTTATAGAAGGTAATATTGCATACTGCCTTTTAACAGAGGACGGTGAGCCATCAACATACCAGGAGACAATAAACATCTCAGATGCTTCACTGTGGATGATGGCGATGCAAGAAGAAATTGAAGCCCTTCATAAAAATAATACATGGGACCTTGTGCCACTACCACAAGGAAGGAATCCAATTGGTAACAAATGGGTTTTTAAAATCAAGCGAAATGGTGACGATCAAGTGGAGAGGTATCGTGCAAGACTGGTGGTCAAAGGATATGCTCAGAAAGAAAGTATTGATTTCAATGAAATTTTTTCTCATGTGGTTCGATTAACAACAGTTCGAGTAGTCTTGGCAATGTGTGCTACATTGAATTTACATCTGGAACAGCTAGATGTTAAAACAGTTTTTCTTCATGGAAATATTGAAGAAGAGATTTATATGCTCCAGCCTGAAGGTTTTGAAGAAGACGAAAAGAAGAACTTGGTTTGCAGGTTGAACAAATCTCTGTACGGTATAAAGCAGGCGCCGATGTGTTGGTATAAGAGATTTGATTCCTTCATTATGTGCCTTGGATACAACAGACCTAATGCAGACCCTTGTGCTTATTTCAAGAGGTCTGGTGATAACGATTTTGTTATATTGCTGTTGTATGTGGATGACATATTGGTTACAGGACCCAACAAAGATCATATTGAAGAATTAAAGGCACAACTGGCTAGTGAATTTGAAATGAAGGACTTGAGATCAGCAAACAAGATTCTAGGGATGCAAATTCACCGAGACAGAAGTAATAGGAAGATTTGGCTTTCACAAAAGAATTACTTGAAGAAGATCTTGTCACGATTCAGCATGCAAGATTGTAAGCCAATTTCTACCCCTCTTCCTATTAACTTCAAATTATCCTCCAGTATGAGTCCTAGCAGTGAAGAAGAGAGGATGGAGATGTATCGAGTACCGTATGCATCAGCAGTGGGAAGTTTAATGTTCGCTATGATATGCACAAGACCAGACATTGCACAAGCAGTGGAAGTGGTTAGTCGGTACATGGCGAATCTAGGCAAAGAGCATTGGAATACAGTAAACAGGATCCTGAGATACGTCAAAGGGACCTCAAATATTGCATTATGTTACGGAGGATCAAACTTACTAATCAATGGGTATGTAGATTCTGACTATGCAGGGGATTTGGATAAAAGCAAATCTACTACAGGATATGTGTTTAAAGTTGTTGGTGGAGATGTAAGCTGGGTTTCAAAATTGCAGTCAGTTGTGGCTACATCCACAACAGAGGCATAATATGTAGCAGCTACACAAGCCAATAAAGAAGCAATTTGGTTGAAGATGCTATTGGAGGAGCTTGGGTACAATCAAGAGCATGTTTCTCTGTTTTGTGACAGTCAAAGCGCCTTGCATCTAGCAAGGAATCCAGCATTTCATTCAAGAACAAAGCACATATGAGTTCAGTACCATTTCATTGAACGATAGATATGCAGAAGATCCATACCAAAGACAACATAGCAGATTTCATGACGAATGCGATCAACGCTGATAAATTTACCTGGTGTCGATCCTCTTGTGGCCTGTCAGAGACGTAAGCAACAAGAAGGTACAAGGTAGAAAGAATAGTGTGAAGATATGATTGTTCCAATCAAATCTTCAAGTGGGAGATTGTTGAAAGTCAAAATATCATGGGCGGCTATACAAATTCAAATGGGGCTGCTAAATTGATTATGTTAGGCAGCTTGAAAATGTTGAATTTTGAAGTGGTAAAATCACAAAATTTAGCCATTGGACTTTAGGGTATTTACAAGATTAATCCTTAAGTTTCAACTATAAATACCCTAGCTCATTTAGCTTCAAGATCATCCCAAAGCATTCTAGCTTTCTTCCAATACTAGAGAGAATATTAGAAAGTTTTTTTAGAGTTGTTTTCTCCTTTTTATCAAGAGAGAATTATCATTGTTTTCTCCTTGGTTGATAGAGAGAAATTGTAATTCCTATTTTCTCATAGTGAAATTCTTCTACCGTTGCCCGTGGTTTTTACCCTATATTATTTAGGGGTTTTCCACGTAAATTTTGTGTCTTCTTTATCTTCGTTTTTATTTTCTCAAATTATCAGTTACGATTTTGCTCTATCCGATAGCCGTCTTCCGCAACATTACCAACGATAACGCTAAATGCAATTGATTATTATTTTATTTTCAAATAGTTAAAGCGAACCCTAAATGCACTCATCACCGTCTATCAACATTACTAATTTTATGCTTGCATGGTACTATAAATACAATGCAACATCAGCCTTGGAAATTCTCCCAGGGTAGAATAATCTATTGACTCTCTCATTCTTCCTCTCTCGCCTACAACACACTTGAGTATTCATTAGTTGTTAGCTTTTTCTATTATCTATCTTGGTAAAAATGTCTGTTGGATCTCCAAAAGTAGGATTCACCGTGAATTATCCTTAATGACAATATAGTGTATGTCCTATTTGCAACCTCATATTTTTACAACACTTCTTGTATTGAGTATTGAAACAAAGGTCGGTTTTACATGGGCAAAAATAAGGAAGCTTAAATAGGATATCATTTATTAAAGGTAATGAAAAGTGGCGATAACAACACAAGCCATAATTTCTAATGGCAGTGGTGACAATGAACATGAATGAACTGGTTAGAGATGAACTAAATGAAGCTACAAGAATCAACAAGATATTGGTTTTTAATTCTTTTAAATTGGGGATTTAGTCATTCACCGACCTTAAAAAAATATTTGAAAAAGATAAAAAGAAATATTGGGTAAACTTCAATTGAGGAAAAGAAAAGGAAGGAGACAAAAGAGGAGGGTGGAGACAAGGGGATAGAGATGGTTAGAGTTATCGTCGGCTGAAGAAGGTGTTCGGATCAACATCTATAACAATGACAATATGGCCTAAAGAAAGATTGAGGCAATTTTTAAATTTTTGAAGAAGATGAAAAATAAATGAAACAAAAGTTCATGATTAAATTGATATTTTGTCTAAAACTCAAGAGTTAAATTAGAAATTAACTCTTATTATATTATGTGAAATTATAACAAATCAATAACGTAAATGACTTAAATATAATTTTTAAAAATTCGATGATTAAAATAAAAAGAAATCTAAACAAAGATAACATCATCTATGATTTACCCTAAAATGTATTACTAAAGGCTAACGTCAAGAAAAGTTGGAATAGAAAGAAAGTTTTGGCATTGGTTTGAATCGTCTACATTCATCTATGGTACTTTCATGTGGCATATAAATATAGTTTTAAGCATAATTGTGGACTTAAGCTGGGGGCAGGGGAGCCAAACCGTATGTTCAGTTTTCAAGGGTGAGTAGGCATAATTCCATTAATGAGCACATTCAATTAAAGTCATAATTAGGGATTAAGCAATGATTTAACATTTAAGGACCACAAGAAAGGTTTAATCAGCTCCATCAAAAGCCTAATTATCAATTATTGACTGTGCTTAACCCAAGATTTCGTGCTTCTTACTATTCATGCTTGTTGTGACATTAGCTTATCATCATGTTTGGGTGCCTAGCAATTGGTAGCTAGCCTTATGCCCCCCCCCCCCCCCCCCCCCCCCGCTTGAGCTCTTTTTAATCAAATATTATATTATACAAATCAAAATACACCTATTAAGGATTTTAAAGATTCGGTGTTTAGTTCTTTTGATTCTTTCCTCACTAATATGGAACCACTAGTTATTTGAAAATAATTTTTATATAATATAATTCTATTAAATACTTAATTCATATTAAACTTTATTGACTGAATGCCGATTAATATTAAAATAAATGTCAATTTTTATTAATTGTTTCATTTCATTTATATATATATAAATAATCATTGACAACATACGTCATACAAATACAATTGTTTAAATTCAAAATTTCTAAAAAAATAACACTTTTTTTAACCGTTAGAATCACTTAATTGATTCAATTAATTAATATATTTTATTTAAAATATAATGTAATAAGTATATTGAAAAGTATACAAATATCCTAAGATGATAAGAATTTTGAATAGTTTATGGTCCCATATAACAAGCTGGTTAATATCGG